ATTGAAAACAAAATGAGTTTGAGTTAAAAAATATTTATAAATACGAGTACAACCAATTTTAATATAATGCACATTTTAAAATGAATTTTAAATTATTTTATCACTGGTTATTCTACCTTTGTTGTTTCATAAAACATGACAAATATTATTTTATCACCCAAAACACTTTCATGGTCATAAATTGGCTCAATTTCCCGCAGAAATTATAATATTATCATTTAATATCTAGTGCCAACGCATTTTCCTTACGAATATGCTCGAAAATATGTAATTTAAAATCGTAACGTCAAACGTTGTATGTTGTGTAATCATACAATTTTTAAATAATTTTGTGTAATTTTTTAAATGTTTAACCAGAGAGAATGTTAATATTTTTTTATTATTTTTTTTTTTTTAAATTTAACGAAATCGGTTACCTGATTTATTATTAAGAAAGATATGCGTAAAAACCCGATATACGATGTATGATGTCGATATTCCAATACTACTCGTAGTAAACTTAAAAGCGCACACGGTATTTTACGTTAGATGATGTTGATGATGAATTATTTAAGTACACAAGCAGCGTTTGTACAGATAGAAAAAAGCAAACTTAGGACCCGCACGCGTTCGCCGTTTTCCCCAGAAACGTTATGCCTACGTACACACTTCTATTAAGGCGACATAATTTATTTTATGTCGATGCGATCTAACGACCCGGATAACAATAATTTTCTGCTCGTCTAGATTATAGAGAAAAACATCCGTATTCAAACAGAACCCAACGCCTAGCCACGGATACTATTTAGTGGCGAGTCGAGATCATAGGGTCCGCGTGTACGCGCTTTTTTTTGTTCGAAAGGTCCTCGTCTGGTTCTGTCACGTTTACTACATGGTTTTGTCGGTAAAAGTTCAGCCAATAAAACAGATACTGTGACTTATTACTAGGGCGTTACGTAACTGGAGCCGGCATACATAGTCAAAGAGTACAATGAGTTGCATTTCCGCGACGGAATCCGGTCATTTGAAAAATGATTCCGACACGTGTCAATTGGACGTTTAACATATTCTATTGAGGTTTATTTTACCTTTTTTTTATTACTCATTTTCTATGCATCAATATACACATAATTTTTTCCACATCATTCGTTTCGTACGGTTTATTCGATCCATAAATAAATTATACCAAATTCCTTACACAATTATGAGTCCTAAAAAGAGGATGAGCTCATTGACGATAAAAACATTCTAAATGAAAATTCAATGAATATCAGCGTGAAGATAAGTGACTGAATAAATACAATTTCGTATTTTCATATGATGTTGCAATACATTAAATGGATGATAGGATAACCGATCGGAATAACACGAATAGAGTCGAGTGTGCGTGTATGTGTTTGCAATATGACTATTGCTTTTATGATTATCTTGTTATAAGTCGAAATTACTTGCATCCCTCTATACGATATCACCTTGTTTCACGGGTTGATTTTCATCAGAGTCCAATGGTATGATCTCTTGTCGTTAAAATGGTGATAAATAAAGGAAAGTATCCGAGTTTCAGATACTACAGTTTAAAATTAATTTGTGCAAAAGAAAACTTCAATTACTATGTGCCCTAAACCAAAATATGTACAAGGTGAACGTTAAACATCTTCAATTTTATTTTATTTTTTTTATATTTAAAATGTATATTTTTTCGAATTCCGATTTATAGAAAATTTTTATTTTTTATGTTTTCAAGAATATCGATCCTATAGTAAAAAATATTCTACAAATCCGAGTTCGAACAAATGCATAGTTGAATCATAAAATGTACGAGCATGCTTAAAAAAAAACCCCGTAGAACGATCACAGACGAAAAAAAATTCACACGGATAACCCCATATTGTAGATGTTTCGAATCCAGATTGTAGATATAGATGTTGTGCACATTATACAAACAGCTTATATCACAGCAAATAAAATTGGTACTATTATGTTTTTTATATCCTTGGCTGTTTGGTCTTGATACTGCTCCACCGTACCACTCGAAGTGACCGATGTTAGAAACGGACAACGAAAAATTATATATTATTCATACGCGAGTTGATTTTTACTATCATATTAGGCATGTCACCGGACAAAAGTGGAGAGTAAATAAAATATTCAGTAAAATATAACATTATTGGATCACAAGTAGTGTAATTTATCAAACGGCGCGTGTGTATGCAATCTGATCATAAAAATCAAATCGTTACCAAATACGATACACGAATAATAATGAATCTGAATCGCGAAAAAAATGTAATTTTGTAATTTACAATTTAATTAAAAAATGTTAAAAGAATTTTTAGAAATATCTGCATCATATGAAACGTATAACAGAGTATAAATGTTTCATCTTTTTATTACAATGCACACGACCATTACATATTTATTATAAGTACCAAAATATGAAATATAGCAATAAAATATGTTAATTCAGAGTAGACCATACTATGAACCAGCCAACTAGGTCATGACCTTGTCTTGTATCCGAGTTCAAAGTTCTATGAAAACATCATTAAAAAATTTGATTAAGATTTTCTGTGGTATTCTTATGATAAAAGGAAGAAAAGAAATTTTCATCAAAATTATCATTTGATGTCATTTACTAGTTGTAACGTTTAAAAGTGGATTTAGCTAAAGATCTCTATTAAATGCTCCAATATTGATGTTGAGGCAACTTATAAAATCTGATTAAATATAATCTACGTAATCTACTATTGTTTACTAAAAACAATAAAAGAAAATTAACTCTTGAGTAGATGAAATTCATAATACGGTTTTTATTTACAAATATTTCTACGAGAAAATACTAACTTACTGTGGTTGTTGACCCTCAGTTTGACATTCAATTAATACGGGCAGATCGATGGTTGTGGTCTGCTACACAAAATTAAGATGTCAGAAAGGAAGGATTGCTACACGAATTCGTGGTGTCAGTTCAAATCCGATGACCATACATACCAGACACTCGGTGGTTTTTTTGTGAAAATCAACCCGTTTAGATTTAACTACCTAAGAGAAGGAAGAAAAAAAAGTTTTCCGATGACGATCGAACGCTCTTTTTCGTGTTTGGAATTTCATGATAGTAAATTTTAACAAAATCGTGCTCTACGACCGACCGCATGGAGGTCCAATAAACCACGAAGCCGTAAAAGATAAAACGAAGATTGATTAAACAGGCTCTTAATTATAAATTGATGAAAACGAGCATGAACAATGCTTTTCAAATCTGTGTAGTACTTGAAACTATAGGCTATTGAAATAATAAATGAGTAAATCATCTTACAAGAACAAGGCACATAAGAAAGGTTAAATTAATAATATATATATATTATTAATTTAATTATTTTATATATATATATATATATATATATATATATATATATTATATATATATATATATATATAGGGTGATTAACCAAGTGTAAAACACTCACTATCCCAAAAACTATTCATTTTTTTCAGTTTTTTTTTCAACATCTTAGATCTATGCTATTCTTGAATTATATATTTGTTTAATATTTTTCACTCTTATTTTAATTAGTTGAACCACAATCAACTTATGATTTTAAAATGGAAACCTATACTTAAAATGTCACAATTTAGTAAGGCTTTTTTTTCTTATGAATTATCACGTTTAAATTTTCATTTTATGTATATCCATTGACGAGATATAATTTCTCAAAGTTGGGTGATTTTGGGTGGTGTTTATGTATTAATGTGTGATATCTAGTCGGTAAATACCAGAAGCTTTAAGTAATAAATTCAATATTGTTCCACTTCAAGATATATCGGTGATAATTGTTGTACCAACCAGTGACGGTGCTAGAGTTTGCGAGGCCCTGGGCAAAATTAATGTTGGGTCTTATAATTTATATTAATAAAATATTTTAAGTTCAGTTAAATCAGAACCGCAGGGCCTTAATTATAATTTAAGTCGCGGGGCCCTGGGAAATTGTTCATATTGCCCACCCCTCGCGCCATCCCTAGTACCAAATCTCTATAATAACTTACTGAAATAATATCATATAATAAGTAATTGGACCATTACTGTCACTTATCACATAACGCATACGGGTAATCTCCTTGTTTCCACTAAAAAATATCTGCGGGTATGGAACAATACGGTGTTGCCTGATTAGACTGATTCACGATTAGGTAAAAATCATAGTTTACTCATTGGGTAAAATAAACTCATTTCGATCAGCTGTTATTTTTAATGTTCTATGAACAGGGCCGTCCTGATGATTTGCGAGACTCGGGGCAGAGTAACATTGCAGGGCCTTGAATGTCGAAAATGTCACTATCGCGCGTCAATTGCATATTGGAACTCAAATGTGCACAAATGATCATAACAAATATAGTACCTTGCACTTACAACAATATGTTATAAACAAGTAAATTAATAAATAAATTATATAGTAAACAATTTTACGTGAAAAAAAATGATATGTACATTTTTTTTTTGCTCGTCAACTTAACTTTTTTTTATTGTGTCTATAATATATGAAAGCAAGGCCTGTCCAACTGTGGTGAGAGCGCAGGGTCTAGGACGAGGACTCCGCTTGCCCAGTCCTAGAGACGGCCCTGAGTATTACCGATTGATTAATTGCCATTGAAAAACTCATTTGAAATCACGATGGTACGCACGTTTTCAAAACGATCTCAAATACAAATAATGCTTTCGTAAAACCATCGAGGAAATGTTTAATATTGTTTAAAGTTTTCACTTTTATTGACCGTTCAAAACACTAAATGTATCGCAAGTAACTGTATACGTTTTACAGTTGGCATAAAATGTTTTTTAAATTATTCGTAAATTATAGAAACGTTTTATAAAGCGAAAAATTACTTGAAAAACTCTCACCATACTGTCATAAAATGCAAAGAGAAATTTGAATGATGTGACATGTATCCAATTTCGTATTAAGAAAACGGGTCATTTTTACGATAAATTTAAATGTCACGCATTGGTTACATGTCATGTTTAGCAACGATAACAACAATGGTCAATGGCACATCGACACGTTAGATTTGACTGACAAGAGTAAAAAAGTTAGAGCTAATACAATTGTAATGAAGTCACAAAATGTTAACTACGATCGTCTTCTTGAAACATGAACACTAATTATTTGTTAATATGCTGATTTTTTTTTCTTCTTCGCGTTCGACGAAATCGTTTCACAAATTGATTTATGATATATTTAATTTTTCCAGTGTCACACATTAAAGTATCTGAAATATAAATCGACTTGTTTGAATTTCATGTTCTCCCGGTTATAATTTGAAAATATAAACACCAATACTTTTTATCTTTGCTTATGATAATTATTGATTTTTTTTCGCATCGAACGTCGATTCGTCCGGATGGAACGTGCAAAAATGATTTGCGTACGGTGTATCGCGCCGCAGGAGCAAATACGTGAGAGGCGACTTCGCCACGGGGAAGATCATGCTGTCGGAGAAGACGGGCGATTTCCTGTTGGTGCCGATCGTGGTGACCACTTCGGACGTCCAAGAGTTTGACTTTTCCATTCCCATCTTCAAGTCGTGGTGAGCCTACAGTGCATGGCAACGCGCGCACACCCCTTCGCCCGACCAACCGCACGCTTTTTTACGCCTCGCGCACGTACATGCCGTAGCCGTTTGCTACGTGATGGATCCTACAGGATCAGGGCCGACGAGAAATTTTGAGGGCCTCGGCGCTGATCGGTTCCCGGCTCCCTTTACTTGCACTCGTTTGGCCAGGATACACACACTGTTTGTACATACTTTAGTGCGATAAAAATATTCAAACTCGCATCTAGTTTTCGCTGCGGCGAATGAGATTATAAAAAAATGTTATATAAAAGGCTGAGACGACGGGCCCCGAAGCTCTAGCCCTCCATGCCCTGCATAGGGTATACGTAGCCACCGATGCTGTATCATGTGAAAAGCACTGCGTGCACGCGTACAACATATCGTAATACTGTTGTCGATTACTACGAGGACGGATTAAAATTTTCGGGGGGAGGGGGGCATATACACGAACGAAAAATTGTATTTTGTTTTACTTATTATTGAACCACATTCATTATCGTGTTTAGCAGTGGTAACAATTGACTACTTGTTTAATAATAGACAATCGTAAAAACAATTGAATCGAGTGTGAATCATCGTAGTACTCGCAAAAACACGAATCGCCCAAATTTTCATCTGTATTCTAAAACACCATTCGTTGCCGATGAACGCAATTACATCTGTTATCAGTTAAATAAGTGTATACATAAATTAAATATTTTATTTGTATCTTAATTTGAGGGTCGTACAATTATGAGACCCCTGGGCAGCCCACTCGGCCTTCTTCTGAACCCGGCTCTGACGCTACTTAACGCACGTACCTATGAACATTGTCCCAACATTTCTCGAACCCGCTTTTATTATCACTGCGTTTTTCTCCACGGCACCACTGTAGTCGCATTATAAATAGACAATCGTGTCCGATTTTTCGAATCAATTGTTTTTTGCCCAACACCGGTAGACTACCGGTGATGTATTGCTAAAACAAATTATGGGTATACATGTTATTTCATGTAGTAACTATAATATGACAGAAATCCACAAAACTCACTAATGAACTACCCATCCTTATTTATGACTGTTTGATAACAAATTTGAATTTTTCATTAAAAAAAAATTGATAATAATATATCCGATACCGAATCACGTCATAAATGTAACTACAAGTTAGGTTAGTCAAGGTATTATATAGTTATTTGTCAAATTTCAAGCTATACGCTAGATACGGCTGTATACCCGCGTATCATAAATTTCTCATAAGGTATACGTCATGGATAAAAATAGCGTATTGGGTACACTCCGTATATCCCCGTATACCTTCCAATACATCACTGCCGGTAGCATAGCGTCGGTCTTGTGCGATACACGTGGCACCGAACGCGGATGTAGACAAAGAACATATGTTTCTTCGAAACTCATAGAACATATTTACTGAACAAATATTCATCTCATATGCAGTTCGTGACATCGAATTCCGGAATCTCTGCGGGGGCACACACGATTGCGCGATGTGCGTGTGGCGAAAATCGCAAGTCGAACCTGGTACTGCAATATATTTTGTACCCGCGCGAGCACTATCACATTACTCGAGCTTAGAAACGCCGTCGTTGCGTTTGGCGCGTTTAATGACGGGAAAAAGGATTGTACCCCGGAGTCACCCCAAGTATGTTGCATCTCAAGGGCGCCGAACCAGCGACCAACGTTTATAACTCTAGACTTAAAAGTTGTGTATAAATGACAAGACCGTCGAGTTGTGAAATAGCGAGTGATAATACTTGGTGGAGTCTTGAGTAATGTTAGCCAAAGCAAATTGTGCTTCGAGTTGCGCAAACCAGACCAGAGAATCTTCAGGCCAAAATGGTAAGATTTTGATGCCGACGCGAGAGACAAGCGGTACGTTTTGAGGTTGTGCGTTTTCCATTGTCGAGGACCACCACCGGTGGCTATTTTAGGGGGGGGGATATGGGGGATAGATCCCCCCCTTGACCTTTTTTTTTTTCCTAGGTAGCTATAAGTTGTCTCATTTTCTCTAATATTCTTAATATGATATTACTTTCAAGCATGTATGTTTTCTGTTTTCTAAATGTTCTAGTCGTGGTAATTGTACCGCTTTGATAGTCTGATATACTAATCGCCACTAATCGTTTATCGTTGGCGGCATGTACGACTATCAGGCATATACCTATATTATGGTGTACTGTATTTTGTACGTTTCTGCGAATTATTTTTCATGCAAGAGTGTTTATAATAAACCCGATAAGCAATCGGTAAACAAAACAAAATGACCATGAAGATCGTGGATTAACCATAGGGCGGCCGGGCGGGTTTATTTTTAGAAAATTTGTTACTAGTAGATTTATGGCTAATGTATAGCTATATATATATATATATATATATTTTATGGATTCACGACAATTGAGCGCAAAAAATTGAGCGCACGACAATTGGGCGAAGACTATTGAGCGCACGAAACTTGAGCGCTGCGAAAATTAAGCTCTAAGACAATTGAGCGCGATATATTTTTCACTTTCTTTAATAATTTGACTATTCATCAAATTAATACGACCACGACATTTTTTCGTATTGCATTCGATACATCGCCAACTATTGTTTTTGTCAAATCTATATAAATATCCGTTATAGCACAGAAGGTCTCGACCTTTTTGACTTTTAATAATTTCCATTTTATTATCAAAATTATAATTTAAAAAAATTAAAATGTTTTATACAATTAAATGAATAGTGTTCAGTATGCACGTGTGAAAATATAACATCAATAAATACCTTGCAAAGTTCACATGTGTAGTTATCCAGCGATAAGAGTCTACATTTACTGCTGCATTACCGTTGTTGGAATTTTATTCTTTCAATAACACCGTATCGATAACATTATCTGATTATCATCAAACATAAGGATTTATCTGACGGGTTATATAGGTATTCGCAGATACTGCGAACAAATTCATTTCTAATTTGGTAATTTCATGTACAGCAGTTCTGCACTAAGCTTTTACTCAGTATAGTATAATATTATGTTAAAGCGCTCAACTGTCTCGGTGCATAATTTTCGCCGCGCTCAATTGTCTTCGCTCAATTATCGGGACACCATATTTTATCTTATGATATCGTGATTCGTTAAAAGTAGATATGTACGGTCATTGGACGTTGACGGATAGCGACTCCGCGCCATTCCGAGTACTGACTTACTGCCGAATTGACTATTGTTCGACTTTATTTTTTGCGTCTTGTAAGTTGTAACTGTGAAGTTTTAAAACAATATGAGTAATATTCAAAAACAAAAAAAAACTTTATTTTCTTATTTTAGTACAAATAAAAAAATTTGTTTGGAAAATGATGAGGTAATTATAAAGATTAATTCTTATTTTGCCTTGATCCACACTAACCTCAATAGGTAACAAGTTAGGGGATTTTAAAAATGTATATTATGTACGAATTAATGGGTGTTAGGATGTATTATTATATATTTCATCCCCCCCTAGAAAAATTCCTAAATACGCCACTGGGCACCACTATATATTCTTTGGAAATCTATACAATAATATACTAACAATATTATTTACTGTTATCTTTAAAACTATATTGGGTCTTAATCAGATAAAAAAACATACGATGAATATGTATTTATAAAAAAAAAAAAAAAAACACTAAATCACCCGATTATAAATAGTGCTATGAAATAACCAGCTGGCTATGTATACAAAATCAACATCGTATAACCCATAGCGAGTGTTTTTAACGAGTGTAAAACAAGTACGAAATATTAATCGAACATTCGTTGTTAACTAGACTACATAACGGAAACACTGTGGACAGTAAGAGAATAAAAAATAAAAACGATAAAGAAACGAGGCATTCGCGACACCATCACGCACGCATCGTATCGGCGACCACGCTCAAGAATTATAGTTGATAATACCACGTGATAGAATCGCGATGACGAACCGTTCGGATAGAATTTCGACCATCAAGGACGACGGCCAAAAATGCAGGCTATTCGTGGGTAATCTGCCGAAGGTGAAGACGGAAAAGGAGATATTTGACGAAGTGAGCCGCATAACGCGTGGTCATCTGGTGCGTGTGATCACGTACAAGAACTTCGACGACCCGTCGATGCACCGGGGCTTCTGCTTCCTGGACTATGGGTCGGTGGCCGCGGCTACGGGAGCCAAGTGGGCACTGTCGAAGCAAAAGGTGTTCGGGTGCAAGACAATCGTCGACTGGGCGGACCCAGAACCGCAGGTGGACGCAAACACGATGGCCACGGTGCGCGTACTGTTCGTCAAGAAGTACGGCGGCATGCTGGACGAACGCGTGCTGGCCAAGATGTTTGGCCGGTACGGGGTCGTGGAGCGCGTGAAGAACCTGAGGAACTACGCGTTCGTGCACTTTGAGCGGCGTGAGGATGCGCAGTCAGCCATGGACGCACTGGACTCTTTCAGGGACGTGGTTTCAGGTGTGCGTCTCGAAGTCGCGTGGGCCAAACCGCCGGTGGACAAGCAAACGCGACGGCGGATATTGCGTAACCGAGAACGCCGGATACGGAAATCCGCGGTCACGGCCATGAGTCAACCGATTCGCTATGCCCCGCGGCCACCGGAACGCGCTCCTGGAGCCAAAAAACGCATCGGCCCAACCCCCGCCGCCACAGCCTACACCAAGTACGACCATCGCGGTAGCGTATTCGGACCGCGGCAACCGTACAACCGGTGCACTCCCGTCTCCACGTTGAACATTCCAGTGGCCGAGGCCACGTCCGACGACCGGAACAACAACAATGCACGCCGGCGCGGCACCAACGTCACGAGCACAGAAGAGTGCAAAGCGGTTCGCACGACGATGGCGATTGGAAGAAAGGTTCCACGAGCACGTTGGACTAGAAACTATTGAACTTTTTTGACAGAATGTCCACGAAATGCGCCAAAAACAATTGGCGTCACCGAAGTGTTCTCTAGCCGTTTACGATGTTTAAAAGAGTCGACCTTTATTTAATGTTAAAGAACCCGCATTTTACAGAAAATAAAAATAATATAAAAAAGTTGTTTCAAATAATTTATTCAGCATGACGCGAGTGTTTAAACAATTGACACACGAAGTATAGCGTTTTCAAACGTATTTTGAAGTGGCCACTGATCGATATCATGGTAATCGGATACGGAAAGCTACTGATGTGCCATGGGTAAATACTCGACGGGTAGATAAATATTTTGGGTATTTACCCACTATAATATTTACATACTAAAAATGTGGGTAAATATTATTTTTTTAATCTGGTCAAACTGTATATTTCTATTTTTATTACTGATAGGTATCGATATCATATAACTGATAGTACAACCATTGATTATAGAATATATCTATTCTATAATCAATGCTAAAAATTATACTACTAATTGATCAATACAAGTTCTCTTGTCAAATGTTAATTAGTTTAGTAATAGTTTTTTTTTTTTAGTCATGGGTCGGGTAAAAGATCCTATGTGGAAGCATTACCATTGCGGTGAAAACAATAAAAATGTCCTATGTAATTTCTGTGATAAAATATTCAAATTTGCCAAAGTGAATAAAATTAACAAAAACTTCATAAATATAATTTATGTACTCTAATCGTCAGTCTTGAAAAACATGAAAAAGTCAAGAAACAATCATAAAAAAGCAGGGATGGAAAACGTTTTTGAAAAACATTATTAAACAAAAAAAAAATGAAAAACGAAAACAATTAAAATTCAACAACGAAATCAAAAACGAAAACGAAAATAAATTATAATATTATACTATTATTATTTGTTACGAAAAAAAATATATCTGTTATCAAAAATTTAATAATTCTAATAACTAATAGGTAATTTTTGACAGATAAAATATATTAATAGCATAGCGCAATAATTAATTATAATCCACATGGTACATACACATTGCTGTGGAGACGGTAAAATTATATTACCTTTCACGACGACGGTCATGGATCATAGTGTAATCTATAACATACGAGTAGATGCCACTTCAATTATTATAATATGATTATATTATTATCTATTGATTTTAGCAGTTGATTAGAAATTGATTTTGTTTTATAATTTACTATAACCTATTCGTACTCATTATCCTATTGGCTGTTATAGTTAATTGTAACAATCAGGGCCATCCAAAGGCTTTTCGGGGTCTGGGACAAATTAATTTGTGGGCCCTCCAGCGTCCTTAATAATAAGATATGATTAACAAAATACTCAATGAGAATAAAAAAATTCTTTCAAACGTATTTTTCCAAACCTTAACCAATCAAGCTTATTTAAATGCATGTGCTGCATTATACATTTAATTTCCAATAAATTCTAAACAACGCATCACCATATATTATACTAAAAAGTACAATTTATTCCTAAATAGTTATGTTTATTCAAGGAAAATATGAACTTGGATTAAATAAATAGATAAGGTAAATTAAGAAAATAAAAAAAAATATTTTATTAGTTTATTATTGTATATAAAATATTAAAATGTATAGCGGAAAACTTTATTCTTACTTTTTTTTCAGCAAAGCTGTCTATAACATCATCATAATCTAAAGTCTTTGCTAACTTGTGTTCAATGGAGAGAAGTATTAAATGATTTAGGCGGTTCTCTTCTGTAGTTGAATGTAAATAACTTTTTATTAATTTCAGTTTACTCAAAGATCTTTCTCCCGTTGACACAAATGGGGGAATGGTAGAAAGTATTCGAAGACAAATACATATTTGAGGTAGTATATTTTGAAGTCCTTTCTTATATATTTGATTAAGAATAGAAATTGATGCAATTTCGCTATCATTAAAAATAATTGTTGATACTTTGTGTATTTTGCAATAAATGCGTAGTTCCTCTTTTAATACACTAATACACACATCATTAGATTATAAACTTGAAATTATTTCAGCTTGAGCTTTCAAAAACTCATCACATGGTTCTTCTGGTAGGCTGATAATTGAAGAAAATGTGTTTGATATTTTCTTCATACTTGCTTGAATACCATAAATATCAGATAAAAACCTATCTAATGCTGTTACAAACACTTCAATTTTAAATTGTCTTGGTTGGGCAATGTATACTGTATAGTACACACATGAGAAAATGTGTCAATTATTTTGTAATGGTATTACAATATAATGTAATACCACTAATAGAATTGTATATTATTATGTGGATGACACAAAAAAAAAATAATTTTTGTCTCAATAACAGTGGTAGCCGGTCGATGACAGCTTGTCATTATTAATTATTATACATCAAAACTTTAAGGGGGCCCCATAAAAAAAAATATTCCGGGGGCCTGAGGCACAATGTACCCGTTGCCCCCCTTCTAAACGGCCCTGTCTGTGAACGATTACATATATCGTTTTTCGTGGTTACATGATATGTTAGTATACCTTATGTCAGTTAATCGTGAAGCACATAAAAATATATTGAGTAGATAAACTGTTGGGTTATAAACTTATAAGATTATAAGAAATAACTGAATCGTGCTCGTGGGTCGTTAATGTAAATAAAGTTTTACTTTTTAATATTTTCACATTTTTAAGTGTTTAAATTTTAACAATGCACTAATTATATAATTAAGTTTAAATAAAATGTTCTTGTATATATTTAACCTAAATTGGTTAATCACATGTCAATTGGTGAGTAGAAACATATTAAGTATAATTTGTTGGTATGTTTTACTAGTTGGTAGTTTCTTCAATTAAATAAATGATACAATATGTCAATAAGTTTAAACATTTTGATTTCAATTTAATCATTTATATATTTAAACAATTTTAATTGTATAATATATGGCTCTCTGGTATCTACTGGATAATAAATGATTTGTTATGCAATCAAATGACATAGCACTACATAGAAATATTACTTTCAACTAAGTTTCTGCTACTTATTGAAGAGTTTTGTTTGTTTTGGTATTTTAATTTGACACATAGATAGTCTAACATTATCTATATTTACTACAAATATACTTAGACAGATAATTTGATTTAAACTTTTTAATTCATAAAAAAAAGTGAATTCACAATATAATATATTGTATATGATTTATACACATAATAATTGTGATTCCAAATCGAATTTTGAATATGTCATACTAAAATCTACTATCACATACAATTTGGAAGATTTTATATGTTAAAATAATATTCATACTACTATTTCCAATTACATTTCAAAATACCAATATTTTGGTGTCAGTGAAAAATAAAAATATTACTTTACATATTGGATTTACGAGTAAATATGACTACAAAATAAATTAAGTAAGTATACATTTTTTTAAGTGTTATATTATTTAACTATTATATTAACAAAAACATTTTTAGGTAATCAAGTTAATTGCAAGGAAGTAGAAAAAAATCTATTTGGATTAATTGTACATCACCAATGATATTTATTGAAAACTAAAAATTTTGCTAGTGTTAATTTTTTGTTAATTTATATATTTTATAATTAATTTAAATAAGGCGACAACATCAATCATTACAACTTAAAAGATAAATTTATGTTGTGTTTAATACACATACCTACTCATGCTTAAATTGTGTAAATTAAATAAAGAATTTAAAAAGATAGTAAGTAGATATGTGATTAATTATTATACATATATGATTTTTATTTTTATTTAAAATTATTAATATTAAGTTAGTATAAATACTAAATTATTTCTGTTAATTATTGGTGTTGTCATTAAATAGTAATTTTTACTAAATATAAGTTGGAATAGTTTTAACATCATTTTAAAAATTTTACTTTAATTTTAAGTTTGGGGTTATTGGAAAGTTTATTGATGTATTTCTTGTCAACTTTCTTTCATATCATTCACTTGTAACTACAACAGAATTAAAATTTTTTCAACTAGAAATTACATACATACATATGTATACTAATGTTTAAAAAACTGATATGTTTAACTGTTTTACTGAATCTGTAAAAAACTCCAGAACTGCTGCAAAGTAATTTAATATATTTATTACATAAACATGTATGTATACTTTTTTTTTTATTAACTTGATTCATTAAGATATTTAATTATACATCATAATGTATGTGTTTATAATGAAATATGGTACTTAATTCACAATATTTGATTATACTACGGAATTTAAGAATGAAAAAAAAAAAATCAGCCATGTTAAAATCAAATATTACAACACAAATAACTAATTTAATTAACAAGTATATATAAAAACAACTTAATTATAGACATACATATATTTTTGTGAACATATACCTCTTATAAAATTGAATGATAAAAAATATATTGGTTGTATCAACAACGTAATCCTACTTGCCAGTGTCCAAGTTATACAATGTTTTACCGAATATATAAACAAGTAAGTATGAATGGTATGTTTACTAAAACCAAAAATATTGAAAACAAAAACATAAACAATAATAATTCACTAGAAGTTTTATGTAAATTGATTGAGAATCCACATAAATCCTTGCGAGACATCAAATTATGGACTGCATATTTCTAAGTTTAGGTTAACTATTTAAGCAAGGAACTATGAATTATTTTCTGTTCATGTTCACAATCCATAATATTATTAATTATTATCGGTTAGATATCACTCTAACCATAAAAAAAATTTGAAAAAAAAATTATGAAATCGGTAGTCTTGTGTAACGGTAATACGACCCTACTTAGTTTCAGCTGATTTCTTCACAAGGTTATGTTATCCAACATAATAGAAGCGATAGTCAAACAGCTGATCAATTTGTTTCCATTTTGCCGAAGACTCGGCATAATGTTGGCAACGAAAGCTCGGTATCATCATAGAACATATTTTAATATAGATTTAAAATTACGTTACGGTTACAACATCATGCCGATACTCCAGTGCCTATATTCTGAACACACAGCAAAA